AAAGATTTCTACATTATATAGAGAACTGGACCAAATCAGTGCCCTCAAATCTGGCTATGTGTTCAAATCAAGTGGATGACTGTGAAACATTATTGATTTGTAAAGCCTCATCCCGTTGAATCATAGTCTCTGGGAGTTGGGAACTGAGAATCTTTGTCAAGAATCTAAATGTTGTAACCCCCTCAGATGATCCTGGTGACTTACCAGGAATCGCTGAACTAGATTACTTCAAAGTTCTCTTCTAACTCTCTGATTCAATGATTCTGACTATACTGCAGAATATTTTTTTAATAAATAAATGAGAATTACTTGTAATCTGTAAAATGAATTTAGTCTAAATGTACATAGGTAGCTTTAAAGGGTCAACAGACCAGCTGATTTCTGAAATTGGTCAAAACTCTTCTTGCAATCTACTTAATGAATACTTTTTTCATGTATCATGGAAAGGAAAACTTTATCTGGCCTGTTTCCCAATTATTAAAGTTCCAAATCACCGAAATATAAATAAATGAGACTTTACCGCACTTAGAACACCAGTATGATGAAAAATTTGTTTACACCAAGAAGTTTTAGGTCATCCTTCAATCATTCATCCCTGGAACCAAAGTACGTATGCACGAGAGCACACACGCATACACACATGCGCAGACACGCACAAATGTGACACATGGTAAATGTTGGGCAGTTACTGAGATGGATCAAAGGAGACCTTCAAATTCCATCGCCTTTTTAACCTTATATTTTTCTGTGAGAGAATCTAGGAACTCAAATCAAAGGCATCCAAATAATATTAATCATGACATACTCAGCTCTTTGTTTAAATTTCTCTAATCCCTTATCTTTTAAATACATCAGTGTGGTCTAGGTGGTGCTAAGATGAGGAGTAAAAAGGAGTATTTTTCAAATATTAACAGATTTGAAGAGATTGTATTAATTTGGGCTAAATTAGTTCCCTACATAAAGAGCTTCTAAAAAGTATACCATGTTGCCATATGAAGGAACTCTAATTATTGCAATGGGGCTACATTTGTAGATTTTGCCTAATCTAAAATGAAATCTGTGAGGTTCTACTGGAATTACTTAGAAAAGAATAATTGAAACCTCCTTCAGCAAGTTAATTCAGATTCTCCTCATTTACTTTCCTAGTTCACAAGGTATCTTTTTTTCATGGTGTTTTCAAATTGAAGTTCACACACGTCAAATAAATAGCATGATAATCAGAGGTTTCAATATCTAATATACATTCATTATTATCTGTCATTATTGTCATTGTCACTATTATAATTGCATTGTAAAAAGAATGGAGGCTTTTCCATAGAAATTATTCACGTGTATTACTTTCCAGGAGTAATTGAATAGTTGACATTGCATTTATATCAAAGTAAAATATGTGATGGTTTTCCTCATTTGTTTTATTCTTAAGAAATAAGAAATGTAGAGTAGTTTCTATTAGGTCCCTTTATTTGGATCCAGAAAGGTTCACAGTTTTATGTAATGTCCAAATGTATATCTTCTTATAACAAGTCTCAAAAGATAGCCAATATAATTCAAGTGATAATTTGCTAAGAACATATAAGGTAACAACTAGGTAGTGAACTCCTCTTAACTAGCTTGTATTTATGTACGTGAACTCAAAAAGAATCTCAGTGAAAAATATTACTTTTCTTTTTTAACTATTTAATCAGGTTTGGCATATTTGAAATAAAGCCCACATTGCATTGTCAATATCTAAAGATTAATTAACAATAATTCGCCTTAGAATTTATACAAAACTTTTCACTTCATTATTTTGTATAATACTCATGACAATCCTTTGAAGAGGCAGGTCAGATATTGTTATTTTATTTAAAGATGAGAAAAGATAGACTCTAAGCAGTCAGTTTGTACAAAATCACCCTCCTGAATGGAAAAATTAGCCCTAGAATTCTGGTCATCTGGGTCTTAAACAAAAGTTATGGTAAAATAAAAATTAATAAAATAAATTTTAATTTTAAAAAAAGCATGGGCCTGGTAGAGTTAGAAGGCCTATGTCTGAACACTGTTTCTCCCACTTTCACAATGGGAACCTTCTAACCTCTCGGTAAACTAGAGCCCTACCTACAATATAAGGCTGTTTTGAATGTCAATGGAGAAAATGGTGAGAAAACCACTCAAATGTGTTTTGTTATCTTATGTGTTCTTTCTTCTGTACTATGCTCCTTCTCACATGCTTTATCCTATTTTTGGTTTCTATGTGATTCACCTTCACAAGGTAAAGTTTAACTTTATTTAGAATTAAATAATATTGATACTGGGTTGGAAAACTGAGTAGCACAAGTTTTACAAACAAAATACTCCAAGTAAAATGCTGTAACAAATTGAAAGAATGATAAGAAATATAACAATGCGAAAGATTTAGAATGTGTCTTCACTCACTGAGAAGGCCATATGTGATAAACTCAAAGCACTGTTCCTTCACAGAAAACACACAGCTGATGAGGGTAGGTAGGCTTTCCTTGACTTCCATGTAATTCTTCTTTACATTCCCTGAGGAAGCCTCGATGGTTTAGAAATTTATCTTAGTTTATGCGGAGTCTTTCATCTCTGTATGCTAGCTAGCCCTTTGAATCATGTCATTGCTGGCAGGGGTGGAAGTTGTTACCATTTGCCAACTGTTCAGTGGCTTATATATTGGTAGTCTCAGTCCAGTTCTTAGAGGACAGATGGCAAGGACTGGCTCTTTGAGCAGAGAGGGCAAAGACTCGAGATCCTCTCCTCATCTGCAGAGGTGGTCCATCTAAATCGATGTTGAAAATCCCTGGGTTGGTCCAGGGAAACTGGCCTTATCAATTAATGAACAACCTTACAAATATATTTGAGCTGTCCATTTATCTCCCTTTGTCATTCATAAAACACATTTCAAAAGCAGTACATTTATTTAAATGTTAAAACAGAGATTTAATTATATTGCTTTGGTCACACCATCACTTCAGTGAGTCCTTTCCTCTATGTCTAACTGGTAGATATTGGTCTATCTGCCCCACCCACAGTCTGGCAGCAGATAGCTGTGTCGTATCATGACAGCCACAGAATGGTGACATCCAGTTGAGCAAGTCTGTCTACACATGGTAACTGACAGCAACCTAAAAAGAATACTCGTTCTCATCTTGACTTCTCTCATACTCACATGGTGGTTGATTACCTGGACGAAAACTACAGTAATAAAATGGTCTTATGTTAGTTCTGTAACCATGCATTTAGGAGATTATATGACACAAGAATTATGTATGTATCGTTTCAAAATAAAAAAGTTATTACTATACTGAGTTTCCTTAACCCCTCTCAACAAACCACCCCAGTCACTGAAATCCTCAAATTATGGAGCTCTTTGCTATTGTATTGTTTTTATGTCTCAACTACTGGTCTATAAGGCATATGCGTACCAAAGTACTTTATATTCAAAGAAGTTGAGTTTTTTTGTTTGTGGCAAAATTGATATTGCGTGCTGATATTACATTCGGCATTCTCCTATAAGTACAGCTCCCCCTATCCATAACTCCCTAATAGAAGTTTCTCCAGAAGGTGTTTTTCCTACTGAGGCATATACAATGCATTCAATGGCACCAGAGTTTCATTAAAGGAATTCTCTTGTTCCCTTCCTTCACATGGAAATGTCATTAACTGTATTAAGTTAACTCTCTGAATGTTAGGTTCTTAACCAACAAACAGTGCTTCTCCACAAGGGCATACTTCGCCAAGCGTCCTTGAATCAGAACGACTGGCTGAATGTGTAATAATAGATTCAGAGCCACACTGTGGGTCGTGATCATATTTGAGAGGAACCCTTTTGTATTTATTGACTTTTTCCGTCAATCATGGTTGTTCCATTTCTTCCACCACCACCTTCAGCCTTTCAGGTAAATGAAAAGTTCAATTATATGTAAAGTGACCGTTAAATCAGCAGGCCCCTTGCGGGGGTCCGGGCCTCCCCTCCCTGCTCCAATCGCAAGTGTGCTCAATCCATTACTGTTCCTGAGGATCGCACATCCATCAGGTCGCGTGTGCCGGCCAGGGTGCATCTCACAGCTTTTACTGCATATGAGATGTTGCAGGCCTGTTCTCAGGAACTGCCAGGCAGACTGGGAATCACAGTCACGGTTAATAGCAGCGAATTGCCAGCTCTTGATGGGTGGGTAGTCACTCCTTTCAGTGGTTGCCCCCTGGGGGAGAAGGTAGAAAAACAGAGGGAGGGAATTAGAGTGACTTTGCACAGTTGAGCAGGTTCATGCCGCTGGATCAGTGGCAAGCACTGGCAGGGCTCCACTCTGGGAAGGCTCAAAACAACCTCACAGTCTCATTTTTACCAATTGGTGCTGCTGTGTCGCCAGTGGTGCCCAGGGGTGGGAGGGTGAGGGAGATGGGAGAGGGGGCTGGGAAGGAGATGAAGGCAGAAGTCTCAGCTAAATCAAATAAACAAAAAGTCGTGTTCATACTGGTTAACTCACTCCAGTTAGCCCTGTGCTACTAATTGTACCAAACTGGTATTTGAAGTTCCCTGGGTGATTAAAGAGTTGGCTCACAAACTCTCTGCATAACCTTAATTTTTTCAAGGTTCTTTGAGTGGAGAATGGCTTATAATAATGATTTTGACTAATACGATTTTTGACATGCAACTTTAATGCTTAACCTTAGTACAACTCCAGAGCATTTCATGTGTACTCAGCTGTAAAGAGTGATGATTTAAAGGGATAATATAAGAAAAAGGTCGTTCTAGAATGAACCTCTAACAAATTGCATAAAGGGAGCTTATTATTCCATGAGTATGGAGATATGCTGCTCTTCTGATCATTTTTCTGCTTGGTTCAAAAAAATTGTTGAGACATGAATGGGAGAGGAAACAGGAAAAAATGAAATAGAAATCTGCAAGCAGGGAACATTCTTTTGATGGTTATGATTTCGTTGCCACTAAAAAGGCTCTACAATAATGTGGTTATTCATCTCCTCTTTTGTTTTGGGTGAAGAATTCGCTCTAACAAGAAAATGCTGTTATTGGTTGGAGGATTGCCTCCTGGGCCAGACCGGCTCCCCAGCAATTTGGTTCAGTACTATGACGATGAAAAGAAGACATGGAAAATACTTACAAGTGAGTGCCCTTCTTTATTTATTTATCCACTTATTTATTTCAGGTTAGAGCTGTCTTGATGAATTCGAAAACACGGTTAATCAAATTAGACATTTTATTGATTTGTTACCCTTTGGAGGTCTGTTTATGTATCACAGGGGATTTGGAGTAAAAGACTAAATTAACATTGCAGAGGTGGCCAATTTGGTAGTCAAAGAGGCCTAAATTAAAACTGGCCTAAAATCACTGCACGAGTTTGCATTTCTGTGTGTGCTACGGCAGAGGGGGAGGGTGACTGAGATCTTCCCAAAGAAATTCTTCAGTTATCTTTTGCTCATTGAAAAGTGGAAGGTTGGTTAATCGCACTAGTAAATTTTTTCACGTCAAAATGGTTGCTTAGTTCATTGTCTCTGTAACTAACATTCATTTTGCTTTTTAGGCATTTTTGCTCGTTAGTCTTTGGTCTGTGAAACTGGGTCTTAGAGAAACGCTGCTTTCTATTGCTCCACAATTTGGATGGACAGATACACCTGTGCCTATCCCAGCTGCATTAAACTGTGCTTGCAGACTTCCCCCCAAGATTCCCCTCTTCCCCTCCTTAAAGGGTGATTGTGTTTCATAGCAAACCTCTTGCCTTGGGCACTGAGATTTGGAACTTGTTATATCGGTTATGATTCCCAATCTGATTCAGTCATGGAATCAAAAATCATCGTTTCTTGAGTGTAGCAGGCTGTGTGCACTGGTCCCCTTGTGGGCACAATGGCTGCACTGGTCAATAAAACTAAATTTTAACTGTCAAAATTGCCCAGAGCTGTATAGATAAAATAATAAATGAGCAATTTTGATCCATAAATCAAAGCCATACATTTAAAACAGACGAAAGTTGCAAGTTAGATTTTCTTATTGCATGTGTCGTTTAAGCAGGTATATATTTTATCAGATTTAAAAAAAAATCATTTCCTTTTCTCTTACTGAAAGCCCTTTAAAATAATAGAAACAGGACAACACTTTGCCCATAAGAGCAGAAGAGGAGCAAAGACGTGAGGTGGTGCTTGAAATAATGCATTTCGGAGCTGGCTTACCCCAGCGAAACCTGCAGTAGCATTGTCCAGGAACTGCAACGAGAAAGCTCCCTGGACACCTATAGACGACAGTTGTAGGAAAGAAATGGTGGAGTAGTAGCAGTGACATTAAGGAGAAGGAAGAAAGAAAAATAAGTTAGAGATGTCTTCAAATGATTTTTATTCTCTTTTTGACAAAAATACTATTAATAGTGGTTTAAACATCTGAATGAGTGACCTGAAGCTGTATTTTAAAGATTTATCAGAAACAAGCTAAAATAAAACCAAAGAATCAATCGTCTGACAATCAATAGAGAAAACCTACACAGAATGAGACCCAGATACTAGGAGGAGGAGAGAAGAAAAAGGAGGGACAAAAGATTCTTGAAGAGAGATGACAAAAACACAGAGGCAAAAGGACAGGGAGATATTAGACTCAAGCAATAAATGATATTCATTCACAAATCCATCTGTTTTCCCAAATATACCAGGAAAGGTCCAATTTGCTACTGGTTTGAAGCCCTTCATTAAAGGGAAAAAGATTAATTAAAGCATTGTGAACAATACCTAAGAAAAGTCTTATCTTCCTTTTAAACCTTGTTCAGAGACAAGGTGATCATCCAATTTGTTGTCCAAACTGGGACACTTTAGAGCATGAAATAGGGATCTATTAATCATGCTGGGACAACAGGTGTAGACTGGAACATATGATCACCCTACTCAAATGTTTCACATTGCCTGATTTAACTCTTTACTTAGAGGAATGTAGTAAGAAAGCATGAACTTGAATCAGTCAGACCTGGTTTCAAACCCATGTCTATGACCTTGAGCAAGTCATATAAATGTCCTGAGTCGTGGTTTCTTTTTTGTCAGCATCATTTGAGTATTTTTAAAGCAAATTTGTGTTTATAAATCATCTAGCACATAGCATGAACTCAATAAATTGCGGGTACTATTGCTATTGTTGTAACACCACTACCAATATTAGCAGAAGGACTGTATGCATCTTCATACCTTAGAGGCACCAGTCAACCAAGCTCTCCATGCAGAGGGGAGACAAATTACACTGCACCAGATACAACACTTTGACCAATGCTCCGGAGTAGGGAGCTTATTTTCCATAGTTTTCATATGTTAGATGTAGTAATCTACAGACTAGGAAGTAAAGATAAATGACTATCTAGTGACTCCATTCACCAGATTTGAAACTGAAGGAAATAAAGACACTAAAGTATACAAAAGTTCTTATAATGGGAACATATTCAAAGATCTTGAACCTTTTTTCTATACTCAGGCATGCTCACAGCCTTGAAATAAATGTCTGCTCCCCTTATACTTCTCATTTCACTGGGACTTGTACTTCAAAAAATAGAGTTTATTACCTGCTGGGCTGTGACTACATGGCCCCAAGTGAAGGCATATTTTTCAGGTTTGTTGGAGAAATATAGACAGTTTATCTGGATGATTTCTGCTGCTGGTTTGTATTTTTTAATTAAAGCATCTTATTTGGCTAAATTGAATAAATAAGTCAGGTAACTGACAGATTTCCACACGATTTGGGCCATCTAATGATAAATGAAGAAATGTTTCTCATTGGAATAAGAAAATATCCCAATTCTCCCCAAATCCAATGAAACATTAGGGATTGCAGAGCTTTCCACTTCCATTCTTTTGACCCAAAAGAACGGCTAAACTAATTGACAGGGAAGTGCGGATGCCCATTAATGCTAGGAGACAGTTCCTAGTTTGGGGTCTGCTTATTTATTGAATGACTGTCTCCATGCAAACTAACGAATAAGTTAACTAGCAAAAACCTAAAACCTGAGGTTAGCTAGAGCCTCTGAACCTTAGGATTCTTTGCTCACTTGGCTTGAGCAAACATTTCTCAGCCTGTCTCACAGACATGCTCCTTTCAGAAAGATGCCATTCTACAGGCAGAAGCACAGATACCCACCTCTGGGAGCCACAGTACTTACACACATTCTGTAATGAAGAAGAATTAAAAAGAACATCAGTCATCATTTTCTTTAGATCTTAACCTGTTATGTTATTTATATTTTAGAAACGCTATATAAGGGGTACACAAATAATAAATTGAATGGAGTGGAGGTGATTGGAAGTGAAAAAGTGGGTCTACAGAACATAAAGAAAACAAAATTCAACAGTCAGCCAACCCGGTGGTGTGGTCTACCCAAACAGCAAAGGCAACAATTATTCTCACTGAAAAGACTGTTTTGGTAGCATGCTGGCACAGACTGCGTTTTTATCCTCCTCTTCGAAAAAAAATCATTTAATGTAACATTATATAATTAATGTTAAGAATAGTGACAGCGCTCCCCAATCTCTATCAGAAAAGTATTGAGAAATAACATAAAAATGACGGTGAAGTCCTTTTGTAAATGTGAAGTGTTAAGTAACAACGATAAAATTGACATTGTTGTTCTTTTGACTGTTAATAAGAAAAGGGAAGTGCACTGCACTTCCGTTCATTTTTATTTTACAGTCTTGCTTTTCCTGCTTTTCTCACTCCTGCACGCAGTCTCCCGTTTCCTTCTTCACTTATTAGAAAACAGTACAGGAGACATGAATACTAAAATGGCCAATGCAAAAAACAAGCTTCCTGCACTTGCAGGCCCTAAATCCTTGGTGCAAAGATCAAACAGAACAATTCCCGTGGCTGCAGTGTACTTTTTGTAACATATATCTTGCATATCAAAGTTTTTATGAAGTCCACATGGAAGCAGCTTACATTCCTCCCCAAGAGACAACACTGAGGTTCCGTCTATTCAATTTGTATTCCTCATTGACCATGTTCTTTACTGGTGGGTAAGGTGTTTCCCAGGAACTGACTTCCTTTTTCCTACATTTCAGATACGAGATTCTATGTATTGGGTACTTCTTATGGCTTTCTGTGAGCAATGACAGGAAGTAGGATTTCAAAATATAGATTTATCCTTCCAGGTGCCAATGATGACTTCCCTTTAATAACGTTAGATGACAATTAGAAGAGCTAAGTTAGAAAGGCTTTTTCCTTCTTCTGGCCGCTCTAAGTTCCCTTTGTGGCAGATAGGGCGAAATTGTTTTATTCCTCTTCCTTTCAGTCAGTTTGCAACTCTGCCCTCCAGTTGGTAGTGCAAGGATTTGGGAACTTGTATTTTTCATTCATAGAAAATAAAGGAAACCACTGTGCAGAGATTTCCTGGGTTGTCTCCTCTGGTCTATAGAGGCCATTTAACTTGATCCCATCCACGCAGGAACGGTCCTGGGGCTGGTTGCCATCGATTTCTTTTAGGAGAGTCACAGAGATCAGAGGCTAGTGGACTCTTCATTGTTTTTTTTTAAATGTACTTTCCATAAATATTGAAGGAATAGTACTGAGAAAACGAATCTTATATAAGACATTGAACTTCAGTTCCAAAAGATAAATATAGGTTTGATTATATCCAATATCTGAGCAGTAGACAATGGCTTAATTGCTGATTATGCAGGGAATAATAAACCTGCACATTGATACTTTCAATTCGACTTCTTTTCTTGGACCTTCTGTTTCTTGATTTCAGTTCATTTCTGTTCTTTGAGGATATGTTGGAGGAAAAGTCAAGTTAGTCAAAAGCTAATAGTCATTTCTTATGATTATTTATTTAGAAGGAAGTAAAAAGTTCAACTGAGGGTTTTATAGCTGTGGGTTTCCTTCATATTATCTTTATTACCAAGAACAAAAACCCACAAATTATTTAATTTAATTTCTGGACAGGTAGGTAGAATCTGTCGGTAGTGCATTTCTCATTGCAGGAGAACCTTAGAAAACAATTTGGTGCTTCCAGAATGACTCTGAAAATGCCTGGGAAGAATTAGATTTATTTACAGACCTCATTCCTTCATGTAGCAAGCAATGTGGCTACTCTGTGCTGGATGGTGGGGTAGAATATGAATAAGATAATCTCTCTTCTCAAGAATCCA